TTGCAATGGTTAGTCCACCTCCTGAAACCTATGCAAACTGATTTTGGTGTTGTTCTGACGCTTCCTTAATTTATGACGATTTTTTGTTTTTTCTCCATAGGAAACCATTGGACGGTCTGTCTAATGGTTTCCAATGGAAAAAAGAAAAAATCATCATAAATCAACGAAGTGTCAGAACAGCACCAAAATCAGTTTGCATAGGTTTCAGGAGGTGGATACATACATACATACATACATACATACATGTATATACACAGAGTGGAGAATATATTATGGTTTAAAGATTTTAGTATGGTAATATGGTTATGTAGTTAAGATTATGAATTAGATATGATTATATGGAAAACACCTCCCTGTGTGTATGTTTGGTATGTCTTGTATGTTTGTCTGAGATATAATAAAAAATTAAAAAATGGTATGGGGACTGGAAGACTGTAAGCCAGACTGAGTCCAGGATCCAGAGGGTCCTTTTCCCTAATTTAAAGCAATCTGCTTTACAAAGCCTAGCAGTCATGTGTGAACTGTACAGTCTCAGAAAAGCATAGGTTTTCTCTCCGATCTACTTCCGATTTTCTTTCCTCATCACCAGTGTCAGTCTTGCTCACTGACAGCAGAAGATAAAAAAGCATTTTTAAATGAAAAGCAAGAAAAGGTTTCCAGCTCAAGATGGACAAGGATGGATGAGACAAACCAGCACCAGCACCCCACATACACACACTTTAATGCCAGTGCATTTTAAAAAATAAAAGAGCTGGGGGGGTGGACTTTCTTATTTACAAAGACTTCTATGGTACAGCTCCCTGCAGAAATTCCACTGGTTGCAGAGCTACTTTGAAGAGATTCTCAACTTGGATTACAAATTCAGCAGGCGGACGTAGGAAGGCTCCAGGGTGAACAGAAGGCAAGCTCCTTCTTCCTTCCTCTTGGAACCATATTTTCAAGACTAGCAGCTTATCTGAAACGAGCTGTCAACAAATGTTACAAGTGCTCAGAACACAGAAACGCAAATGCATGCAGTAGGAAAGTTAGTCTTTGGGACTGCTACTCCCAGAATCCCTCAGGAGCCTAAAAAGGAAATGTTTCTAAGCTTTATTTGTACTATCTTGAAACCCAAAGACAGGGACCACCTTCCCACCCCAAACAAGCTAAGATAACACTCTACTATAACAGCTTCAGCCTAATTCAGCCATAGCCTGTAAAAAGTCTCATGTAAATATAATGCTAAAGCAAACACCAAATGATACCGTTTAGGTGGTTTAGACTGCATGTCCCATCATCCTCAATCAGCAGAAACAAGAGTTGGCGATTGTGGGCACTGTAATCCAAAGCATTTGGAGAGCACCATGTCACCTACTCCAATGCTAAACATAATATAAAAGGTATACTCTGGCCTTTCCAGTGCAGTTGCAAGCTCAACAAAAATACCTGCTTCTTGCTTTAAACTATTTTTTTTTTCATTAACGTCTGAATAAGGAATTGTGTGTAGTTTCATCTACGGTTTATTGAAAATAGCCATGATCGGAAATCACTGCTTGACCTTGGGATATTTCAATAAAACATATTTCAAGCTTAACACACTCTGG